GGTATAAGGTTAGATTGTTTATTTGACATGTTTGTTGTTTCTTGAAGTAGGATTGTATTGCTATACACTTCCCTCTCAGAACTGCTTTTGCTGTATCCCATAGGTTTTGGATCATCGTGTTTTCATTGTCATTTGTTTCTACGTATTTTTTGATTTTCTCTTTGATTTCTTCAGTGATCTCTTGGTTATTTAGTAACGTATTGTTTGGCCTCCACGTGTTTGTGTTTTTTACGTTTTTTTCCCTGTAATTGATTTCTAATCTCATAGCATTTGGTCACAAAAGATGCTTGATATGATTTCGATTTTCTTAAATTTACTGAGGCTTGATTTGTGACCCAAGATGTGATCAATCCTGGAGAATGTTCTGTGTGCTCTTGAGAAGAAAGTGTAATCTGCTGTTTTTGGATGGAATGTCCTGTAAATATCACTTCAATCTGTCTGGTCTATTGTATCATTTAAAGCTTGTGTTTCCTTATTAATTTTCTGTCTGGATGATCTGTCCATTGCTGTAAGTGAGGTGTTAAAGTCTCCCACTATAATTGTGTTACTGTCAATTTCCTCTTTTATAGCTGTTAGCAGTTGCCTTATGTATTGAGGTGCTCCTATGTTGGGTGCATATATATCTATAATTGTTATATCTTCTTCTTGGATTGATCCCTTGATCATTATGTAGTGTCCTTCCTTGTCTCTTGTAACATTCTTTATTTTAAAATCTATTTTATCTGATATGAGTATTGCTACTCCAGCTTTCTTTTGATTTCCATTTGCATGGAATATCTTTTTCCATCCCCTCACTTTCAGTCTGTATGTGTCCCTAGGTCTGCAGTGGGTCTCTTGTAGACAGCATATATATGGGTCTTGTTTTTGTATCCATTCAGCGAGCCTGTGTCTTTTGGTTGGAGCATTTAATCCATTCACGTTTAAGGTAATTATCAATATGTATGTCCCTGTTACCATTTTCTTAATTGTTTTGGGTTTGTTTTTATAGGTCCTTTTCTTCTCTTGTGTTTCCCACTTAGAGAAGTTCCTTTGGCATTTGTTGTAGAGCTGGTTTGGTGGTGCTGAATTCTCTTAGCTTTTGCTTGTCTGTAAAGCTTTTGATTTCTCCGTTGAATCTGAATGAGATCCTTGCTGGGTAGAGTAATCTTGGTTGTACGTTCTTCCCTTTCATCACTTAAAATATGTCATGCCACTCCCTTCTGGCTTGAAGAGTTTCTGCTGAGAAATCAGCTGTTAACCTTATGGGAGTTCCCTTGTATGTTATTTGTCATTTTTCCCTTGCTGCTTTCAATAATTTTTTTTTGTCTTTAATTTTTACCAATTTGATTACTATGTGTCTCAGCATGTTTCTCCTTGGGTTTATCCTGTATGGGACTCTCTGTGCTTCCTGGACTTGGGTGGCCATTTCCTTTCCCATGTTAGGGAAGTTTTTGACTATAATCTCTTCAAATATTTTCTTGGGTCCTTTGTCTCTCTCTTCTCCTTCTGGGACCCCTATAATGTGAATGTTGTTGCATTTAATGTTGTCCCAGAGGTCTCTTAGGCTGTCTTCATTTATTTTCATTCTTTTTTCTTTATTCTATTCTGGAGCAGTGAATTCCACCATTCTGTCTTCCAGGTCACTTATCTGTTTTTCTGCCTCAGTGATTCTGCTATTGATTCCTTCTAGTGTAGTTTTCATTTCAGTTATTGTATTGTTCATCTCTGTTTGTGTGTTCTGTAATTCTTCTAGGTCTTTGTTAAACATTTCTTGCATCTTCTCAATCTCTGCCTCCATTCTTTTTCCGAGGTCCTGGATCATCTTCACTATCATTATTCTGAATTCTTTTTCTGGAAGGTTGCCTATCTCCACTTCATTTAGTTGTTTTTCTGGGGTTTTATCTTGTTCCTTCATCTGGTACATAGCCCTCTGCCTTTTCATCCTGTCTCTTTCTGTGAATGTGGTTTTAGTTCCACAGGCTGCAGGATTGTAGTTCTTCTTGCTTCTGCTGTCTTCCCTCTGGTGGATTAGGCTATCTAAGTGGCTTGTACAAGTTTCCTGATGGGAGGGACTGGTGGTGGGTAGAACTGGCTGTTGCTCTGGTGGGCAGAGCTCAGTAAAACTTTAATCCAGTTGTCTGCTGATGGGTGGGGCTGGGTTCCCTCCTTGTTGGTTGTTTGGCCTAAGGTGACCCAACACTGGAGCTTACCAGGCCTCTTTGGTGGGGCTAATGGTGGACTCAGGGAGGGCTCACGCCAAGGAGTACTTCTCAAAACTTCTGCTGCCAGTGCCCTTGTCCTCACGGTGAGACACAGCCACCTCCCACCTCTGCAGGAGACTCTCCAACACTAGCAGGTAGGTCTGGTTCAGTCTCCTGTGGGGTCACTGCTCCTTCCCCTGGGTCCTGATGCACACAGTACTTTGTGTGTGTCCTCCAAGAGTGGAGTCTCTGTTTCCCCCAGTCCTGTCGAGGTCCTTTAATCAAATCCCACTAGCCTTCAAAGTCTGATTCTCTAGGAATTCCTCCTCCTGTTGCTGGACCCCCAGGTTGGGAAGCCTGACGTGGGGCTCAGAACCTTCACTCCAGTGGGTGGACTTTTGTGGTATAAGTGTTCTCCAGTTTGTGAATCACCCATCCAGCAGTTATGGAATTTGATTTTATTATGATTGTGCCCCTCCTACCGTCTCATTGTGGCTTCTCCTTTGTCTTTGGGTATGGGATATCTTTTTTGGTGAGTTCCAGTGTCTTCCTGTCGATGCTTGTTCAGCAGTTAGTTTTGATTCTGGTGCTCTTGCAAGAGGGAGTGACAGCAGGTCTTTCTACTCCTCCATCTTGAACCAATCTCCAGAAAATGAGATTTTTAAACCTGAGACTTGAGAGATTTCTGGTTAACCCCCATGATTTTACGGATGATGAAACTGACACCCAGAACAGTAGTAATACAATGAAATGACAGAATCTTCTTGCAAGACTGTGTGTTTCAACACAATATATATAATACAGCTGACTGCAACTAACCATGCGCAATCTTTATAACTGCTTCTGATACTAATTTGTGATTGCTCACATTTAGGAATAAAATATGAAACAAATGCTTTGTTAAAAATAGCATCAGGTTTTCACTACATCCATTCTAGCTTCATTTTTTTCAATAATTTAAAATTTTAGACATCTCTTTTTTAAACAATTTGCTTAATTTTGTACAATTTTCTTAACCACAGCATCCAAGCAATTCATGTTATGGTTACAATCTAAATTATTTAAGATATAAATGTTTATTAGAGCTACCTCATTAAGGAACTTGGTTGTAATTATTGGGCAGTTCCTAGACTCCCTTACAGAAACAGAGTGCTGTTTCTTCTTGCTGTTTTTAGACTTCTTTTCAAACGAATTCAGAACTAGCATCTAATTTCCCTTTTTGCTGTGGTATGTGATGAAACTTCAGTTGGAATTAAGAATTAAGGTAGAAGTAGCAGCAAATGTTTCAAATTCTCCCAAACTAGTCTCAGGTTATGCTAATTTCATAGTCCTGCCGCTAGGGCCATGTGCTCTGACAAACTTGTGAGGATTTGTTGGTATTATAAAATATATTTGTTAAAAAATGAGGACTCTTTTTTTTAATATCTGAATACACTTCCCTTATATTATTACACATTTCCTTTTCCCCCTAATATTTCATTATTTCTCAGTACCATTATTAGAGGGACAGAGGAGGAATACATCCATTTTGTTTCTCTGGAAGTCTGAGCAATAATATCGTTTTATTTGTAAAATTGAATCATTACCCATACTTTTAAAGGGCTTTCTACTTTTAAAATGTATTCAATCGTTGCTTGCCATTTTTATAAAGACCAAAATGGAAAAAAATTTCAGAATCCCAGGATGATTATAGCCACGTATGCATCACTTCAGGCAAGCTGAGCCTCTCCTTTTTAAGTAGTGCAGCCACTCGTATGCCCTGTGGCATCCTACCACTCCTCTCCACTCTCCACTTCTCCAGTGTAAAGTAGCCCTGATACTTTCCTAAGCAGCCCCTCCTACAGAGCACCTGCCAGAGTTTAGCCTCTAAAGACTGCTGATGGTGAAGGCTCTGGCCCTAACTAGCTTCATAAAAATCTTTCTCTGCTAGCAAGGATCCCAAACACTTTGATTTCTGGAATTTGTCATTATGCTGTGTTTGAAATTCTTATCCTACAATTCCCCTTTAGTTGCAGTCCTGAAGTATATGCCTTGTCTCTTCCATGATTTCTGCCTTGAGCATTGGATCCTGCAGTGTTGAAAGACATCTTTTTATTATGATCCACAACTAAAAACTCCCTTTTTGCTTTAAAAAACCAAAGGCTGCCTGCATGGCATCACTTTTGGGGGTTGCTAAGCTTGTATGTTTTTCTAACACTTCACATTAAATAATAGTTTTACGGAACAGTTCTTGAAATTCTGACAAATACTGTTAAATCAGTGTTGAATAAAATGTGCAATGCATATTAGAGAGGGGATGCATTCTTATGCAGGGACATGGGTATATATGTGAAATATGCCAGTATACAACCCACCATTCATGCCAGGACTGGAAGGATTGCTGAAGATAAACTGGCTATCCTACTATTATGATCATCAGTGTTGGTCTTTGCAGCCAGCATCACTTTAGGCAGTGGCTAATTATTACCCCTGCCAAAATGGACAGCATTTGTCAGTCTAAGTTAAAGACAAAGCTATTCTGGGTTGATTAAGAAAGCCAGGTGTATTAATCTCCTTTGATGTTTTAAAAACAACTGACAGAATTGTTGAGAGACTTTTGAAAATATTAAGGGAAGTCCATTTCATCTTCTAGGTATGATGACTTATTTTGAAAGCAGTGTCTGGGACATCAGTTTGTAATCATCCATTTTCCATTCATTCGTGCAATATTTGGTATGTGTCTGGTGCTGGGAATAATGCAAACAAAAATAATTCCGATAATATCCATTCACCAGGAGCTCATAGATGGGCATAATAGTTGTATCACTCAATGCAACCAGATCTGTTTTTCCAAACTTACTCATCTTTAATAAAAGAAACAATGAAGTAAAACATCTGCAACTTAAACTTACTGAATTCATTCAGTGCTCCTTTTTTGGAGGGAACAGTAGCAGCATTAGCATGTGGTTCTTTGAGTTGGATCAGGCTGCCCTCTGCAGACTCCGTTATTAACTAAGAACAACCTTAATTTGGGGATCAGGAGATGATGGTATGGCAACCTGCCCCAGTGACTGCAGCTCCCCTTCTTTAGAGAATTCTATCTAGAAGAGGTGATACCCCATTAGCACACTAACGGGATCAACAAAGCAGATTAAATGAGATGATAGGGTGGGGTGGAAATTTGGAGGGAATGGGAATAAACTGGTCAAAACTTTCTAAGGTAACTAGGCTGCTAAAGCCTAGGGCAGTGGTTCACAAACTTTGCACATCAGAATCACCTGGGGAATTCGCTTATTACTGCTTTCAGAGATTGTGATTTAATTGGTCTTGGCTGAGGCTGGGGATAGGATTCTGAAAGATTCTAACATGAGAGAAGTTGGGAACCAGCTCCAGGGGGCAGGACTTTTTAAGAATCAAACTGTCTAACTGTATTTTGCTAAGAACCATTTGAGAATGATACACTGTTAGTCACACTGAAACCCAGAGAATATTGGAGTTGAAAGGGAACTGAGATCATTAGTCCAGCGATTGTACAGGGGCAAATCTTAGGTCATTTATGGCTCCCAGATCTGTTTAGCCTGCATAATGTCCTAAAAGACTTGAGAGCATTCACATAAAAATCTGGATGTTTAGTTTCTTTGAAAAATCAGATCTGACAACTCTGGACCTGCAGAGCAGCAAGAGGCCAGCACTCAGCAGCAGTGTAGTCCCTTATTCAGGTACGTGCTCTCCAGTTTGCCACTCAGCACCAGCCTGACCCTCGTGGGCATTTGATTTGGTCCAATTGACTCTTGCCTTCTACAAAACTAAAAACTAACTTTCTGCAACTTTCACCCACTGCTCCCAGCTCTGCAGCACAAAGGAAGCTCATTCCTCCTTCTGCACGAAGGGGCTTCAACTTCTCAAGGGCAGGATTCTTGTTTTCTCTCTGAACGTTCTCCTCCAGCTGAATACCCCTAGTTCCTTCAAGTATTCCCTGTGTGACACACATTCTGGACTCCTCACCATCCTGGTCCCTTTGTCTGGATATATATCCTCCTTAAAAAATGTGGTACCCAGAGTGAAATGCAGCATTTGCATTGAGGTCTTCTGACCATGGCTGTGACACTTCTATTGATAAAATCTGAAACACCACTAATTTTTATCAGTGTCATCCCATGGCTGGTTCATGTCGAGCCTGTGTCCAACTGAAGTCCCTCCCCTAAGTTTTTTTTATATAAAATGATAAGCCAGTTTTCTCTACCCCAAATTTATACAAGCTATTTATAATTTAAATGAAGATGCTACATTTATGACCTGTTTAATTTCATCTTCATGGTGCCACTCTGGAACTGTTTTGAGTTGTAACTGTCTTCTATTACATCAGCAGTGTTGGGTTGCTCCACTCTCAAATCTTTCTGATGCCTTCATTCAAATTGCTGATTTAAAAAATAAAGTTGAATAAGAGCCCTGTGAAATATCAATAGAGGCCAAAATCACACATTCATTAATCAACAGTTTGTTTAAATACCTGAATAGATGTCCATACCATCAAGGCCATATTTTTCTTATCCATGAGGCTGTTGAGAAACCCTTTCAGGAACTGATTTATACTGTATTCCATTCATCTCACCTAGTAATGTAACAGCCCTATCTCAGGAGGATCTAGGTTAGTCCTTTCCCCAGTTTTGAAAATCAGAACACTAGAAGACAACAGCTATTTCTTGCTGAAGGCTATCTGGCTACTTTAGGGTATGCCAATCTATCCCTTTGAATCTTTACGTGATGGAAGTGAAGTTGAGACCATAAAGAATTTCTACATAGGCAGAATCCAGGACTCAGGAAGTCAAGGAGACAGAGATTATGCATGTAGAACCAACAGCTTGTCAACATTTAAGAATCCTGAGACAGAGGCTGTTAAGAAACAAATGACAGACAATTCTTTCTCTACATTAAATCTGATTTTCAACACAAAAAGTAATGGATTTAAAAAGGAACCTTTAGCATAACCATACTTAATGACTTTCTTGATTCAGTGACTGTCCCCAAAACAGGCAAACAATTTAAATAACTTGATCGATTTGGAAACCACTTGGTATAGCAAGGTCATCCTCTCAGAAAAGTTCAAGTTCTTGTGTTCTCTGATGATAATCTCTCAGAAGCACAGTTTCAGTCCTAGGAAGCTGATCCTTGAGAGTTATTTTGGGACTCTTCGGAGTTCACTCATGAGCCAAAGGGCAACACTGAGAACAGCCAGGGAGCCCGACTGGTGAGTGGCAGCCAAAGGAGTTGGGACGTACATCAGCAGAGTGCTAATGCCCAAGCCCACCTGTTACAAAGGAAAGAAAGCAGTAAGCCAAGTAGGAACCACATATGCAGAGCTGAAATGACTGGCATGGATAACCAGATACACAAATCCTCCACATTCTCCCATCAGAACATTAAAACATATATCGTTAAATTTCACAAGTAGACTTAAAACAAAGGAAATTCAAACAAATTAGATAAACCTAAAATGCCTTTTAATTATCCTTCATCTAGCCCAGTTCTCCTCCCCAAAGCTAGCCACTGTTATCTGTTTCTACACACCTATACTTTTGTGTACATGTTTATAGAAAAACAGCTTGGTGCTTTTAAAAAAATATATTGTTCTGTCACTTGCTTTTTTTCACTTAATGTATGTCTTGAGATCTTATTAAACTACAGTACAGTATTCCACAGTATGGATATACCATAGATGTTTATTTAGGCTGTTTCCAATTTTTCACTATCACAGTAATTCCACAATGAATTTCCTTGGACAGAGCAGGCATTAGTAAGTCAATATGCTTGATGAAAGGATTAAACATTTAACACTTCAAAAGATATTGCCAAACGCCAACTAAAAAGAGCTATACCAACTCATGCTCTCGCTAAGAGTATACAAAGGTTATCTATTTTCCTATACCCATGCCAACATCTGCTTACCTTTTTTTTTCATTTTTTTCCAATCTGACAGGTACAAAATGGCACACATTGCTTTAATTTGTTCCTCTCTGATCACAGGTGAGGCTAAACAGCTTTTCATATTTATTGGCCATTCATCATTCCTCTTGTGAGAATTGTGTATTAATATCCTTTACTTATTTTCTGGTTGTTAACCTTTTAGTCTACTATAAATATTGAAAATATTTTCTCCTAGTCTGTCACCTTTCTTCCTAAATTTTGTTCTGAGGACAACTTCAGAACAAAAAGAAGTGGTTTATACCTGTGTGTAAGCCAAAGCTAGCAGAGTCACTGCTGCTATCTTGGTCCTTCGAGGAAGGGGAATTCTCCGGGAGAGGAAGTAGAGTGCTGTAATGGCAGCAACTGAAGTGATTCCCTGCAGGGAGGAAAGAGTCTCATCAAGTGCTAGGAAGAAATGTCCCACCCTCCTGGTTTCTGCTCACCTTACAGGTAACTCCACTAGATCCACTGAATAACCACTAAGCACTTTCCCCTCCCAGGCAGAGAACCACCTGATTACTCCTCCTCAGCTTCTTCCACGCTCCTCTTCTGTTTGCCACTTCAATGCCAACCAGGCATGGCTCCACCTAAAGTTTCTGCACGTACCACTTTATACACACTCAGCAGTCTTATCCACCTTCCAATGTGGGTGTCCCCCAGGTGTGGCCCTCGGTTTTTAAATTATTCTTTTCATCCTTATCCCTAATTTTATCTCTACTCCAATCCTGTATTTTTAAAACAGGGCTAACACCAGCACATGAGGGTTATTGTTTCCCTGGGCTGTGACTAGAGGAGGTGGTGGTGCTGCCAGCTAGGGCTGAAAATGATCTGAAGTCTCCTTTTCATTTCCACCTCTTCAGAAAGAGAGTCTGCAGCTGGCAGGAGGGTTTCCATCCCCCTTCCATGATGTCAAGCAGAATGTTTTTGTATCATTTTCTATACCAATTTCATTTCTTTTCCTTTTCAGAGCTGTCCACAATGACAATTTCAACCAGACCTGACTTATTCCAAAATGCTGTGTGGCAGTGGGGACTGAGCCCACACAAGGTAACTTGCCCAAGCCCCAGCATTCCATCTGGATATGAGGCCCCTGGGCCTCGCTCTGGGTGCGCTACTATCATCTCACACTCAACGTACCTCAGTCTGATGACATCCTCTGTCTCTAGCTCAACACTCATTCCAATAGTCCCATTTCTGCTGGTGTGTTTTAAACATGCCACAGGAGAAACTCTGGGATCTCCTTTGATCCTTCCTTACCTTTATTCCTGCAGCCAGCCTTCTATTCCCTACAACCTCTCTCAGATTCACCAAGCTTCTCAAGTCCCAGTCCCACCATTAAGCCCTGAACCCCATCACTCTCACGGCATTACTACAATAGCACTACTGCTTCTCCCGGGTCTCCTTGCTGCTGATCTTTCCCTGCTCCAATTTATCGTGCCCAGGCCACCAAGCTGATCTTATAGCAGGCCCTTAATAAATATTAGCTTAAATAAAATGAGTATTTATGATGCTTTTAGCTCCTTGGGGTCTTGGTTCAGCCCTGACAGCTGTGTGTTCAGCAACCACTGTCTTTGTACTCTCTTCTCTACTCAGCCTCATTTTTGCTAAAATGACTCTCCTATGCGTGTGCAGGATTGAGGGGAGTTATCATTTGCCAGATGATAAAAGGCGTATTTGAACTTTTAGAAGGTGGCAGTATCCTGAAAGTCAGAATTTGGCTAGAGGGGTGGGGGGTAATTAAGACAAAAACGTCACATCAGAAAACTGGTACTAAATCTCTCCTAAAAAGAAACGGAAATCTAATTCCCACTCTACCATCTCAGCGTTGCCATCAGTGCTTCAGACACCGCAGAGCCTGTTAAGAGGCTCCCTGTCCTTAGTAGCCAGTAACCACCAGCCAGTCTTACCAGAATCCGGTGATCAAACTGCACCGTGGTGGGATTCTCGAAAACATTCCTCAGGAGAGGGGAGAAGGTAAAGAGATCCTCTGGGATCCAAGATTCTCCCATCTTGGGGAAGGAGTTGTAAACAAGCCCAGCATCCAGCCCTGCCACAAAAGCCCCTGTATTCCAAGATAAAAAGTATTTATTAAAATGAAAGAAAGAAGAGATCAAAGATCAAATACTAGTTCTGACATAGAAAATGTTTATTATCCCAGAGTTAGACAAAAGGAATAGTCAGAGAATAGAAAGATCAATAGCACAGGTTCTCAAACAGGGAATATATATCACAATCACCATGGAAACTTAAAAAAACCCAAAAAACCCCTGCATCCTTACCTATTCCCACACCAAGATTCTGGGATGCCTCCCCTAGAGGGGTGGACTAGAAGCTCTAGAGGAGGCATATTAGTTTAGAAAAGTTCCCTTAGTGATCGTGATGTCCTGCTTACCTCCCCAACTGAGAACTACTCATCTATTCTGGAACTAGTTAATTTACTCCTTCACTTCCTCAAGTCTCCACTCAAATGTCACCTTATCAAAGAGATCTCCCCAGTTATCCTATACTGCATAAGATAGCCCTCCCCCACCCCACCTCTATCCCCTTATCTTGCTTTATTTTTCTTCGAAGCACCAAACATTATCTGACATGTTATGTTTTGTTGTTTATTATCTGTCTTCCTCAAGTGCTCAAAAAAATCTTATAAACTAAATCCTGGGTAAACACACAAAGAAGGTATCCATGAATTTAATGGATAACTGATCCATTAGTTATGATCAAAGATTCAGGTATGTTAAGTCACATTCCTTATTTTTATAAATGGCATTTATAAAGTCAAAATTCATGTTCTTCCACCAAAAAAAGGGGAGGAGGTTTGGGTGGATCACTGGTTTGATGGTTTTATTTAGAGCTGTGCTGTCCAATCAAACTTTCTAAGATGATGGAAATGTTCTATATCTGTCATCCATCCAGTACAGTGGCTGCTAGCCACCCACGTGGCTACTGAGCACTTGAAATGTGGCTAATGTGAATGAGAAACTAAACTTTAAATTTTATTTACTTTGAAGTAACTTAAGTTTAAATAGTCACATGAGGCTACTGATAATTGTATAGGGCAGTTCCAGAGCAAGAGAGGTAGAGGTGTGATTTGAAGAATGATAAAGATCTGTGTTAGTCTCTTTGCCCCAGTAAACTCCCCATCTAAGGCCATCTTTGAGGACAGGCTTTTGTCGGACCCATCTTGGTGTAGTGTAATAATAACAATAATGTCGGGACTTCCCTGGTGGCGCAGTGGTTAAGAATCCGCCTGCCAATGCAGGGGACACGGGTTCAATCCCTGCTCCAGGAAGGTCCCACATGCTGCGGAGCAACTAAGCCCATGAGCCACAACTACTGAAGCCCACGCGCCCTACAGCCTGCGCACCGCAACTACTGAAGTCCGCGCACTCTGGGGCCCACGTGCTGCAACTACTGAAGCCTGCATACCTAGAGCCTATGCTCTGCAACAAGAGAAGCCACTGCAATAAGAAGCCCGCGCATCGCAATGAAGAGTAGCCCCTGCTCACTGCAACTAGAGAAAGCCCACGCACAGCAACAGAGACCCAACGCAGCCAAAAATAATAATAACAATAATGTATATATAATAACAACAGCTAACACTTACATAGCCTTTGCTACATGTGAGGTGCTAAGCACTTCACGTATATTACTCAAACTATTATCATCTTCCCCATTTTATAGATGAGGTCATGAAGCCCAGAGAGGTTACATAGCTTGTCCAAGGTCATGTAGTTCACAAGTGGTAAAGCCAGGATTTGAACCTAGACAGTCTGGACCCAGATAGATACTCAATATTTTTGTTCAACCAACTGGAAAGCAGGATTTGGGGAAGGGAGGAAGGAATAAAAAACAAGAGGATGAAGATGGTGGTATATGACAGAGGCAGGTATGAAAAGGAAATATAAAGATACAGGAGGAAAGCATTAGGCAAGAAATCCCACCTGAATGTGGAATGAAGCTAGGCCATCTTTGATAAGAAGAGTCCTACCTGAGAGAGCCGTAAGGAACACCAGGCCTGCAGTTCCATGAGCAAATCGTCTCAACCTCAGGAGTTGACGCGTTTCAGGCAACTAAATAAGAAAAGAAAATCGCATAGATAAACTGAATGCAGGAACTATGAAAGGCAGCAAAGATCTCCAAGGCCAAACCCCAGAGACAATCTGAGGTCAGATCTTCTCTGACCCCTAGACTAGGTTAAGTACTCCCAGCAGATATTCTATTTTATTCTATCTAAATTTTATTAAATTTATACATTTACTATTTGTCTTCCCTGCTATCTTGTAAGTTTTGTGAAGGCAGGAACTGCCATCTGACTTGCTTATTATAGTAATCCTAGCCCAGTAGTTGGCATATAGGTATTCAATATATATCTGTTCAGTAACTGAATGATCTGCATTGTTCACGGGAAAACACTTCACCATGGTTAAAGTGATGTGACTTAAGGTACAGAACTGGATTTTCATGCTGTGTGTAATAATTCATGTTTAGCAAATATAATCAGAATCGAAACTGCATAAAATGCCTAGAGTAGAGATTCTTGCATTTAGTGTTTTGGGTAAAGCCAAAATTTGTTTTTATTTTTACTGTAGCCAACTTGTGATAATAATCAGTGAATCAACAAATATTTAGTAAGAACTTTATACACATATAACCATAAAGATACAAAGGAAAGTCAGAGTGCTGCCCTCAAATGATTTACAATCTAGTATGTGAAGAGTTAGGCATCATTACTAAGATTTTGTAGGACGGTGTATCAGCACTGTCCATTGGAATTTTCTGTGATGACGGAAATGTTCTGTTAGCTGTGCTGTCCAATATGTGGCTAATGAGGATCTAAAATGAGGCTAGAGCAACTGAAAATTTTTTAAAGAGTTAATTTTATTTAAAGTTTAAGTCGATAACAAGTTTGTTTATATAAAGTTAATTTTATTTAATTTTAATTAGAATTTAAATAGCCACATGTGGCTAGTAGCTACTGTGCTGGACAGCACAGTTCTATGTGGTTGACTAGCATCTCAAATCCTTTCTGTAATTAGTGCAGAATATAAATAAACAAAAAGAGAAAAACAATTAATAATTAAAAAGTCATTGGTAACCTTTGAGAGTACCATTTGGTAGAGAGTATTTAGGAGAGTATGGGCATGTGTATAAGTGTGGAGGTGAATGTGTGGCTGGGTATATATAGGGGTGGGTGGGGAAGCCAGATGACAAGAACTGGAAAACAAGAATGGGTTGTCAGGATGTACAGCTACGGATGTAGTCAATTCATTTTAGAAGTCTGCCTTTGAAAGTAAGAGGAACAGGAACTACTCAGGTGTGGATTATCTACTATACCAATGTTTCAGCCCCACCTGGCTTCCCTGTGGGATGACTGCCAAGTCAACATCTCCTGTCCTTATTGGGATCCAGACCACTGGCTCCAAGTACCTACTGGATGATTCTATTTAAAAGTCCTACTATCATCCTAAACTTCACTCCATGAACAGGTTAGGCAGGCCAACCATGACTTTAATACCTAAAATAATACTCATTTTAAAAATACCTAGTGTTTTCCTTTAATCAGCATACAGAGAAAATACTTTTAAGCAAGATCACTACGGTTTACTATTTTGTTAGATTTGCTGAATGGTAGGGTCCCCACATAAAGAACAAACAACTCAGCGTCACTCTTGCACACCACTTAAGGTCTACAAATAGCTCTCGTTCTGGTCTTCCTCACCTCTCCATCCATCATCCCTCTGGGAGTCAGAAGTAAAGTGGTTGGGGTATCTCTTGTTGTTGGTACTCTTTCCTTTTTCTAAAATTCATCTTTTCATCTTTCTTGATAGGCAATGCTGACAAAATATTTGGCACCTATACTAATTCTCCTTTGAATAAGCTGCTCCAGCCCAAAAGAATAATTGCAGTTTTTACTTTGCCGTCCCAAAGCTATCCAGAGTTCCAAAGTTCACTGTTTCTCTAAACTTTGGTTATATCTAGCTTCTGGTAAAACTGATAGGTGTTACTAAGGGAATGCATGCATTTTGACAAATAACTTCCCATTAGTACCAGAATTTCCATTTCTCTGACCCTGTCAGCATCTGTACAGGTGTGGTAAACAATACAGACTGACTTCACCTTGTGCTGAGGTAGCAGCAGCGAGAACGAGGTCCACAAGCTGGCGCAATAAAGCACAAGGGCCGATCCCAGGTGGGCGGCAAGGCGGTACTGACTGACCCGAGGGATGTCATGGGAATCTGGTTTCTCTGCTAAGCCACTTTTCACCATATACCATCCCAACAGGCCCTGCAACCAAAAAGAGAAGAGGCAAACAAAACAAGGTTGAAGCTGTTTATTCAACTTTACTCTCTGAGAAAGTGAGTACTCCCACCTAACTCCTCCTTTCCATACCCTCCCATATCCCCAGTATCCCAGGAATTGAGACCTACCCAATTTCCACATACAGCACCAAAAATACTACACCACTGTTTAGAATAACATTTTATTGAAGTAGAAGCCAAATATAGAAAAGTACACAAAAGTGTGTTTGGGCAAAAGCTTACAAATACTTGGCATAATTTAACATTATGTAAACCAGTGAAATATGAAAGTAAAAAGACAGCTGATTTTACAAAAACTAGATGCTTTGGAGAAACCTGACAAAGATAACTGCTTAAAAACAATTACTGTCATGTTAGGTGGAAAAAGACAATTATAAAGGTTTGGGGGGAAGTCACAAAAATCTATAAGGCTTTTCAGGCAAATTGGTTTGAAAGTGTCTAAATTTCTACTCCTCTTTTAAAAAAATGGTAATGAAAGTACATGTTTAAGTTGAAAAGTTTAAGGTATGTATTATTATTCTATGATTCCCTGTTTTAACTGACTTTTTCAAGTAACCAAACAACTGTCAGTTCTAGTCATATCAGATAAGGTACCCTTTCACCCTGACTCTCCCCAGCCAATAATCATGTTAAAGAGATGGGAGAATCCCACCTTTTCTAAATATATACTCCTCAGGAAGTCTTTTTGGGTATTTCTTTCCCCCTTCAAGACTACCCTAGATGTTCTAATTATCGTGATTTCATCTGCACAGGACACTGGAAGATGAGGGAGTATACAGTGTGATTTGCCAGCCCTCACTTTCCTCCTCTTGCCATCTTCAAATTTTTGCCTCCCTGGAAGTCTATCTTAAGTAGGTTTTATTTTTCTTTTTAATTCTGAAACAAACTTTCACTTTGTTTCCCCAATCCTCCCTAGTTTCTATTAGATTTTTATTAATGTCTAACTCTTTATTATCTTTTTCTGTCGCCTTTATTTTGTTTCTTACATCTCCCTCCTTAATTCCTTTTCATCGGTTCATATTCTTACCACTTTGAGTTAAATCAACCAATTAGCTTCCTCCTGATCAAATTTTGGTATTTCTTTGATGCTCTGAGACTCTCCCTTAGGGCCTGTATACCTTGACCCAAATACTCACGTGTGTCTTCTCTAACACTCCTTTCCTTGGCTCTCAGGCTTCCCTAACCCCTTAACTGTGGGAGTCATTCAAAGCTCTTTTCCTTAAGAAAAGAGAGAAGTTCAACTTATATAATTTTAATCACCATTTATACTTTCAGCTCTCAGCTACATCTGTATTCTAAGATTCTTTATCCCACAGAATGTTTCTCTCTTCTGGAATTTCCCTATTTGCTTCTATAGCCATTCTAGTATAGGGATCCCACTTCCCCATAGAGCAGGCAAGTTAGAAAAAGGGAGGATACAAGAACCCAGGAGGAAAGCCATGATGGAAAAGAAACTCTAATTCTTGTGACATAAAAACATATTTACTGAGTGCTTACTGATTCCAGGCACTACTCTAAGCACTTTACATGCATGATCTCACTTAATATTCACAGAACCTAAGTGGTAGGTTCTATTATTGTCCCCATTTACAGGTAAGGAAAGCACAGCCTACAGAGGTTAGACAACATGCCCTACTAAGTGACAGAGCTTGGCCTTGAAACCAGGCCTGTGACACTAAAATCCATGCTCTTACCCACTCTGTTACACTGTTTCAAAGATTACTTCGTTAAAAACAATGCCAACTTGGAGGCTCCTGAGAACATCTCTGGTTTCCCAAACTTGAGTAAATCTCACCTGGAAGCAAACTAAACCACAGAGGGCAAGAACACGTCCTTTCAGGCCATGCGTGAGCCAGCCCTTTCTCCAAAAGTAGGCAGCAGGCAGGATGTATGCGAGGCCTACAAGGCGACCCCACATTCGGTGTGAGTACTCCATGTACCAGATGAACTTGAATTCTGCCAGCGTCATATCATGATTCAAGCTGGGTGAAAAGGGACGTCAAAAATAAGAAAGAGAAAAAAGTTCATCTAATTTTTATTTCTTGACAGAATGCAGGAACATTCTCAGTTTTAAAGCTTGACTGGTCTGCCCTCTTCCTCATCGGCCACCTCAGAATCACTTTGGAATTGGAGGTTTAGCGTAGGGAGCTCGCTAAACATAACTGAACCAAATATTGAAAAATCGTGGAACCTAAACATTCTGAAATGTTTAAATAAGCAAAAGATTGCGTGGGCCCACTGGGAAGTTTACCTGATTTTCTATAATACTTACATTTTAAATTCTGGAAACTGCTGATATTTTTGGAATTCTGCTTCCCATTCTTCTTGGCTTGTAGGTGGCTTCATCCCCTTTATTAAATGCCAATCTACCATTGAGAGGCCAGACTCTGTCAACCTTAAGATAGGAAAGAAATCTGAGTGTATTAAACTTGAGTGTGTATATGTGTGTGCACCACACTGGATTATTCATAAATGGTTTACAGCAGCAAGTGGATCTGAACTTGACCCCTATAAAGGTAAACACATCGTTTCATCGTTTCCTCTTTTGACAACTTGCTCTCTTCTTACTGCTTAGAATTTTGTCAGAAGCAGCTGCTATCAGGTACAAATTTCTTTACTCCTTGTACTATTTCATTAAACTCTCCTTACTTCTTTCACTAGCATTCCTTAACAGATAAAACCAACCCTTAGACGAAAGAAATGTGTCCTAAATGCATAACCAATATTATTTTATTTTTTAAATTAATTAATTAATTAATTTTTTGGCTGCGTTGGGTCTTCATTGCTGCACGCGGGCTTTCTCTAGTTGCAGTGAGTGGGGGCTACTCTTGGTTGCGGTGCGCGGGCTTCTCATTGTGGAGGCTTCTCTGGTTGTGGAGCACGGGCTCTAGGCGCGCGAGCTTAGTAGTTATAGCATGCGGGCTCAGTAGTCGTGGCTTGCGGGCTCTAGAGTGCAGGCTCAGTAGTTGTGGCGCACGGGCTTAGTTGCTCCACGGCATGTGGGATCTTCCCGGACCAGGGCTCGAACCCGTGCCCCCTGCATTGGCAGGCAGATTCTTAACCACTGCACCACCAGGGAAGCCCCGACCAATATCATTTACACAGGGAGAAGAGACTGCTACAGATATAAATCGGTTTAGGTTATTGAGTGAATTTAAAGACAATACAACTCAAATTTGTTGTAGTTTCCCATAACAGCCTATATAACACATAGGTATTTTGAAATAAGGGCACAGGGAATGTGGAGAGAATTTGAGGAACACATACTTTATTAACACTATAAAGTATTTTCACCAAAAGGGGTCAGGATTCCAAAAGTAAAAAAGCTGATTTCTGGTCTGAGGCAGGAAATGTACACGACAAACCTGGAACATCTTAACCAGAAAGCAAGGAATCAAAGGTTACTAGGGTCCTGTCAAAAAGACTCTGGAGCCAGTCTGAAGAGGTTCCCACTGACTAAAGATGGGACAATTTGGGCAAATCTCAGTACAACGGATTGAAACATATCAAATATATTTAAAACTAGGATCTCCTAATACTTAAAAACTCACCTTATTGGTCACCTTTGGAGAGTGCTTGGGAACCAATTTCTTATTTTGAAAACTGGTAAATAAAAGGAAAGGAATCAAGTGTTTATCTTGCCTTTCCTAACACATTGTACCTTAGGATAACCAAATTGCTGATGAGAGAAAGTTTCTCTTTATAGTTGAGCTAATAAAATACCTATTACAATTTTGCAACTCTAGTGAAATAATGTATTTAGGCAATGATCATCAATGGCTATTGACATCTCTAATAGACACCAGATATTTATGAATGTTCTAATAACCTATGAAGTATTTTGCCCCTGCCCCCCAACCTGAATCTGATCAAACAACAAGTGGTTTACAGGAAATACAGGGGACAATGGAACATGTTAAACAACATAAGTATGCAATCAGCAAAATCTAGACTGTGAGAAAATCCAAAAGGACAAATGACTTGGGTTTCTTCAACAACAAAAAAACTGCAAAGGGGGTGGGAGAGGTGGAGGGAGTAGAATCCAAATCTATAAAATCTCTTTATAAAGAGACCTAACAGGCATGCATAGGAACCAACTGAGAGGTATGGAACTTATCTGCACTTAATTCAAACAAACTGTACAAAAATTTTGTGACAAATTTGAACTCTGATTGTAGGGGGAAATATACACAAACAATGCACAGCTAACAGGTAAGACCTGAACCAGTCTTTATGAAGGGCTTCTACTAGTAAAACCCTAAACTGTTCTAGGGCTGGGCAAGCCATCAGACCTGTTCCCTCTGTAGGCCTCAGTTTCTGCATACGTAAAATGAGGGAGCTAGATGAAATGATTTCTAAGGTCCCTTCCCCCTCCGTCATCCTGCACTTTAATGATGACTCAAATAGCTGACTCACTATGAACAAACTACTCACCTAGTTACTCCACCAAGAATAACTGCTCCAGCCACTGTTCCACTGCAGACCAGGAGCCATCGGCCCACCACCCGCTCAGCAGCTTTTGAAGGTTGGGACACTGTACCCCTTCCAGGTTGCAAAGCTACTTCAGAGATGGTGCTGTATTGCCCTGGCCTCAAGGGGCGCCTGATCCCACAGCTGCAACCACACTAAGGATCAAGACAGACAAATTACAACTGGAGAAAGAGGGAAAGGCTTCACTCCACTGCTACTCACACTCAATCTCTGTCTGGTGTGGAGTACCCTGAATGGCCCCATTTCCACTGCTACTGCCCTGCTAAATCATCATCTCTAATCTGGACTACATCCACTCCCAACTGCCTCCAATCCATCCCCACACCACCTGAACCTTCTGGTCTCTGCATATTTCCCCCAGACTTAACTCTGCACCTAAATATGGATTATTTTATTTCTCCTATGGGTCTTTTTTTTTTTGCTGTACGCGGGCCTCTCACTGTTGTGGCCTCTCCCGTTGCGGAGCACAGGCTCCGGACGCACAGGCTCAGCGGCCATGGCTCACGGGCCCAGCCGCTCCACGGCATGTGGGATCTTCCCGGACCAGGGCACGAACCCGTTTCTCCTGCATCGGCAGGCGGACTCCCAACCATTGAGCCACCAAGGAAGCCCTCTCCTATGGGTCTTTAAATATGATTTTTCTCTGACCGGGGCACTACTGGTCCCCTGACTGATAATACCTACTGCAGATCTCAGATGTCACCTCCCCTAGGAAGTATTCCCAGACTCCCCCACATCTGCAACAGGTCACTCTCCCAGCACACTATACCTCTCCATCACACACTGTATTGTACCATTCAGTACACAGAGGTTTGTCTCCATCTCCCACTAAGCTATGAGCTGTGGGACAGCAATGTCTAGTCAGTCTGGCTCTTTCCCTCTTGCACACTTCGTTTCAAACACAGTCCCCTTACATAACAAGACCTTAATAAAGATTTGACAAATCAGTTACAAATGAATGAACTGTGACTTCCTCTAAGGCAGGAAACTTTTGGTATTTTATCTTTTCCTTCCCAGGTCCTAACGCATATTAATCACGCAATAATTATTAGTTCAGCGAATAAACGCGCTCTCCTGACTCTATCCCTAAAAGTCCAAACACCCATGTTTTCCCTATCCTGCTTCTAATTAACTAAGTAACTTTAGACAAGTTAAGCCTCAATTTACTTTTCTCTGTAGAATGGGGTTATAGTCCCTAACCTGACTATCCGGGAGCTTTGAGCAAAAATCAAATATATGGGTAAAAATCACTGTGCTTTTACTATGTGCTAAGCCTCTATGTATATTAAATTATTTAATGCAACAACCCTTATGAAGTAGGTGCTGTTATCCCCATTTTGCAGATGAATAAATTGAGGCACAGAAAGGTTACCCAACTTGGCTAATAGCCCACAGCTACTAAGTGGTAAGTCCAGATCCGAACTCAGGGGCCCTAGACATAAGTAAATGCGTCGTGAACTCCAAGGAGCTACGGAAACGTGACGCGTGAGAATTATTCTCCCTGTCCTGGCCCTTTCACCCCATGCCAGCTTCCGCGACTCAGTCCGCTGCTGTGCGGTACCTGTGTTCTAGGCGCCGCCCCAGGAATCAAGACCCGGAGACACGGGCTCCCCATCACTGCCTTCAAGGGCGGAAAGAGTAATCGCTGCATACTATGAACAGTGCACAACTGCCACCTACACACTCCTGCACTCCCTGGTCTCCTTTCTCCGCCACCGACTCGAGAAGCACTACCGGGTCACGCAGAACGAGCCCCTCCTTTTCAGAAGGCCGGGGCAAGCAGTGACTGCGCCTGCGCTAGCTCCTGGGCTTTCGCGGGGGCTGCTGGGGCGTGGAAATCGGGGACGCGCTGGGGTGTGCGCAGCCGTGAGGACGCGCCTGTCTGCTTGCGCGCGCTGGAACCCGGACTCTTGAGTGGAAACCGAAGACGCACGTGGGAGGAACGCGTGGAGCATGAAGAGGCAGGGAGCCTCGTCCGGGCGGAAGCGAGCGCGGATACCGTCCGGAAAGGCGGGTGCGGAAGGGGGCGGGGAGGGGGCGGTCGGCCGACTTCGCTCCCGGGTGAGGGCTGGGCCCGGCGGTGGTTCTGGCCAGTGGGTTAATCGCGATTTCCCTGGAAGTACTTTCCCCTCTCCTCTCAGCACCCCCCCCTTCGCCCCCGTTTGGTATATTCTGTCATTCCGGCTTTAAACGTGTGGAAACCCGGGGGCTGGTGGCGATAGTGGCCCGGCTCCGGTTCGAATCCCCGCGCCACCACATCTCGTCGTGCGACCGTATTCAAGTTGGTTAACTTCTCTCCGCCTCGCTTTTCCCTTCTCCACTGAGGATACCAGTACGCCCTCACGGCACCGCTGTGATGGTTCAGTGTCTAGCGCTGAGCTCAGTGCCAAACCTGTGGGGACCGCTTAATAACCTGCAGCTTCTACGGCGGGGTCGAGGATTGTCCCTAAAGCCACACCCCTCCCAAGTGGCAGAGCTTAGCTGCTCCAAGCCCGGAGTTCTTCCTAACGGGCCAGGGTGCGCTGGCATGGCAGGTGTTAGGGAATTTGGCAGGTCCGTCCTCCGTAAACTCTTGGTTCCTCCAAACTAGCAGTTCTCAAACTTTTTAATCTCAAGACCCCTTGGCCCTCTTAAAATTATTCAGACCCTCAAAGACCTTTTATTTATATAGGTTAAATCTATCGATATTGTCCACGTTAGAAATTAAAACAGGAAATTTTAAAATTTTATTTTTATTTTATCAAACAGGAATTTAAAAAATATTTATTAACTAGAAAAAAACATAATAAACCCATTACTTGTTAACATTTTTTATGAAAAAAAATCACCATTTTCCTGAGCAAACAAAAAATAGTGAGAATAGTGCCAATGTTTTTGTATTTTTGCAGATCTCTTTAACATCTGGCTAAATGGAATTCTCATACCTGCTTCTGCATTCAATCTGACAGGTCAAGTAGCCTCCCCAAAATTCCACTCCACTTGTGAGAGAATGAGAGTGAAAAAGGCAAAGTCTCAGTATTACTATGAAAATAATTTTCACTGTACGGACTCTGAAAGTGTGTTAGAGTGCCCTAGTTCAGAGTTAACTGAACTACCCCACTTTGAGAACTGCTGCTCCAAACAAATGTTCTCTTCTTTGATCCCTACAAATAACTTCCTTTTTTAGGACAATTGCCTTACTCTTTTTTTTTTAATTTTTATTTTATATTGGAGTAGAGTAGATTAACAATGTTGTGTTAGTTTCAGGTGTACAGCAGAGTGATTCAGCTATACATTTTCATGTATCTATTCTTTTCAAATTCTTTTCCCATTTATGTTATTACAGAGTATTGAGCAGAGTTCCCTGTGCGATACAGTAGGTCCTGTTGGTTATCTATTTTAAATACAGCAGTGTGTACATGTCAATCCCAAACTTCCAGTCTGTCCCTCCCCCCCATCCTTCTCCCCTGGTAACTGTAAGTTTGTTCTGTAAGTGTGCATCCCCACCCTCTCCTGGCCAAGGTTGAGCCACGAGATTTCGGGATCTTAGTTCCCCTACCAGGTATTGAACCCGGGCCCTGGCAGTGAAAACGCCGAGTCCTAACCACTGGACTGCCAGGGAATTCCCACCAAGGTGTTTTCTTGTGTGAGGCAAATGGTACCCCTGCAGCACTCACTGTTCAGTTAGATTGATCTGACAGCTGGTGTGGGTGGCTATCAGGAAAACCATGGAATTAATGCAGTGCTGTTGGTTAAGAGCACAGAGTGTCACTTAGCTCTTTCTGATAGTCTTCTCCTAAATAAATGAGGCAGTTACAGTTTGATGTTAGTGGATGATAGACTTTTGTTTTTCAAGTTGAAAATTGATTTAAAAAAAAACTATAAAAGCAACATCGGGTAGAAAAATCAAGCAATATAGAAAAGTAAAAAGAAGAAAGTAAAAGTAACTTTAAATCTCACCACCTAGTAGTAACAATTATCAGTATGTGGTGAACATTCTTTTAGGCATTATTAAGTATGCATTCAGTAGTTTTAATTTTTTTAAAACAGTATGTGCTTAACTTACAGAAAAAATTCAAAACTCTGTTTTCATCACACTCTTTAGTGTAAATACATGAATTTTTATGAATTTATAAATATTCAGCCTTTAGTAAATCTTCGTGTGTCTATTGTGTACTGTGGTAGACAATGTACTTACTGTGGGTAATAATAAAGATTTCTCACATAAAGACTTTACTTAGGAAGTTTAGGTCAAGTAAGAGTGATCAGACACCTATCTACATAAATAATAATATGAGAAAATAATGTTTTAAAGAGATGAGTTAGTGCTTTAAAGAGGAACATATAGTTTATGAAGAGTTATATGAGTTCAGAAAAGGGAGATACAATTTCCTACTTTGGGAGAGAGAAAATATCATGGAAATGTGATTTGACATGAACCTTGGAAGATTTTAGCATTCAAAGATACAGCTGGAAGCACTGTGGATTGAGGAGATGGCATAACCAAGAGCAGGGATGGGGATCAGGGGGAACTTGAGGCATATAGAGGAAATAATGTATAGTTAATTAATGGCAACTAGTACTTTTTGTATACTTAGTGGGTACTATACACTTGAAATGAATTATCTCATTTTATCCTCACTACTCTGAGTTCGGTACTAAAACCTACTCTGTTTTATAGAAAACTTAGGCTAAGTAATTTGTCTAGAATCACACAAATCAGTTGTCTGGTCAGGATTTGAGATCCATCCCTGCTCTTAAATATACATACCTTATGAAGAAGTTTAAACATATTCTGCAGGTGTTGAGAAGCCATCGAAAGAATCTTGACCGGGAATGTGATGACGAGGTCTGTGTTTTAGGAAGATTAACTTGGCATTCAGTGTATATTTTTCTCAGTATAATTTCTTTTTTAAAAATTTAATTAATTTTTTTATACAGCAGGTTTTTATTAGTTATGTTTTATACATATTAGTGTATACGTGTCAATCCCAATCTCCCAATTCATCACACCACCACCCCAACCCCCGCCGCTTCCCCCCTTGGTGTCCATACGTTTGTTCTCTACATCTGTGCCTCTATTTCTGCCTTGCAAACCAGTTCATCTGTACCATTTTTCTAGGTTTCACATATATGCATTAATATATGATATTTCTTTTTCTCTTTCTGACTTACTTCACTCTGTTTGACAGTCTCTAGGTCCATTAGACATTTGGATTTTGGCAGCAAAATGTAAAATATCTGTGGTCACGTGGTCTGGATGGATAGTATCATCATGAAATTTCATTGTTCTCTGTATATTTTAGGAGCAGCAAATGGGTTTCTCATGGAAGTGTGTGTTGATTCAGTGGAGTCGGCTGTAAATGCAGAAAGAGGAGGTAAGAGAAATTAGAAAATCATGGCAATTGGCAGTCCTTTTAAAAGTCTGAAAATGAATCCTGTGAACTGACCTTGGTCTGGATGGATAGTATCATCATGAAATTTCATTGTTCTCTGTATATTTTAGGAGCAGCAAATGGGTTTCTCATGGAAGTGTGTGTTGATTCAGTGGAGTCGGCTGTAAATGCAGAAAGAGGAGGTAAGAGAAATTAGAAAATCATGGCAATTGGCAGTCCTTTTAAAAGTCTGAAAATGAATCCTGTGAACTGACCTTAGGAACCTTTGTGATCTCTAAGGATCCCAGTAATCCTTTTGAAAACAACCAACCAACTAGAAAACCTACGGATCGTCTAGTCCTACTTCCCCAGTAGGTTACATTTTGAGTCAGGTGTCCATAATAGTGCTTACTAACCAATTTTTTTTTTTTTAATTTTTATTTTTGGCTGCGTTGGGTCTTTGTTGCTGCATGCGGGCTTTCTCTAGTTGTGGCGAGCAGGGCCTACTCTTCGTTGTGGTCCGCGGGCTTCTCATTGCGGTGGCTTCTCTTGTTGTGGAGCACGGGCTCTAGGTGTGCGGGCTTCAGTAGTTGTGGCGCATGGACTTAGTTGCTCCACAGCATGTGGGATCTTCCCAGACCAGGGATCTAACCTGTGTCCCCTGCATTTGCAGGCAGATCTTTAACCACTGCACCACCAGGGAAGCCCTAACCAACTTTTTAAAAATTGAACTTAGCAAAGATTTAATTTTTTTCAGGCCACTGATTTTAGAGATTTGGTGCTTTTTTCATTGTGAGGACTTTTATCATAATCTTTTTTTTTTTTGAACATCATATATTTTACCTCATGGTTTCTTTTGCACCCTGGACTTGCTTTAACAGGAAGCACAGGAATTCCCATCATCTCAGGATCAGAAAATTTTTTAAACTTTATTATAGAAAATTTCAAACACATACAGAAGTAGAGAGAATAGTATAATGAATCACCATGTACCCATCAGCTTTAATCATTTTCAGTACATGGCCAATCTTTCATTTATATTGGGGGTGAGCAAACGTTTTTGTTAAGAGCAAGACAGAATATATTTCTGACTTTGCTGGCCACATTTGGTCTCTGTCATATATTCTTTGTTTTTTTTAAAAATCCTTTGAAAATGTAAAAACCATTCTCAATTTGGCAATAAAAAAAGGGTGAAGTACTGATCAAGCTACAACATAGATGAATCTTGAAATATTATTCTAAGTGGAAGAAACCAGTCAAAAAATACCACATATTGTATGATTCGACTATATGAAATATCCAGAATAGGCAATTTTCTTATAGACAGAGTAGATTGGTGGTTGCCAAGGACTGTGGAGCATGGGGAGAAGGGAAAGTGACTGCTGAAGGGTGTGAGGTTTCTTTTTGGGGTTATGAAAACGTTCTAAAGTTGGTGACAATGGTTGCAAAATTAAAAACCATTGAATTATACACTGTAAAAGGGTGAATTGTATGATATGGGTCAGTTGTATGAAATGTATGTTTTTTAAAAATACACGAAAACAGGACTTCCCTGGTGGCACAGTGGTTAAGAATCCACCTGTCAGTGCAGGGGACATGGGTTCGGGCCCTGGTCCGGGAAGATGCCAGGTGCCGCGGAGCAACTGAGCCCATGTGCCACAACTACTGAGCCTGCGCTCTAGAGCCCACAAGCCATGACTACTGAGCCCACATGCCACAACTACTGAAGCCTGCGCGCCTAGAGCCCATGCTGCAGAAAAAGAGAAGCTACCACAGTGAGAAGCCCATGCACTGCAATGAAGTGTAGCCCCCGCTCGACACAACTAGAGAAAGCCCGTGTGCAGCAACGAAGACCCAACATGACCATAAATAAATAAATTAATTAATTAATTAATTAATTTTTAAAAATGCACGAAAACATGTTAAACTTGAATGCCATAACAAAAAGAAGCTTGTGAGCCTTTGGCCTGCAGACCATCATTTACTGACCTCTGATCTATATTCCTACCTTCCCTTTCCCATCCCCAAATTATTTTGAAGCAAATCCCAGACATTATGTCATTTCATGCACAAATATTTCAGTATCTCTAAAAGGCTTTAAAAAAATAATAACCTTTAAAAATAATAATAATAGGGCTTCCCTGGTGGCGCAGCGGTTGAGAGTCCGCCTGTGATGCAGGGGACATGGGTTCGTGCCCTGGTCCGGGAAGATCCCACATGCCGCGGAGCGGCTGGGCCCGTGAGCCATGACCGCTGAGCCTGCGCGTCCAGAGCCTGTGCTCTGCAACGGGAGAGGCCACAACAGTGAGAGGCCCGCTTACCGAAAAAAAAAAATAATAATAATAACCAAAATACCAGTAACATCTTTTAAAAATAATATTTATTAACATCATCAAAAATACCCAGTTAGTTTTCAGCTTTCCCCAATTGGCTCACACAGTTTTGTTTTGTTTTACAGTTCTTTGAATCAAGATATAAACATATTTTTTTGATATGTCTGTTTCAGTCTGTTTCCCTTTTTTCTTTCTTTAATTCTTTTTTTTCTTTCCTTGTAGTTTGTTAAAGAAACTGTGATTTTCATCTTTTATTTTAATTTTATTTATTTTATTTTTAAAATTTATTTATTTATTTATTTTTGGCTGCATTGGATCTTCATGACTGCACACGGGCTTTTCCCTAGTTGCAGTGAGCAGGGGCTACTCTTCGTTGTGGTGTGCAGGCTTCTCATTGCGGTGGCTTCTCTTGTTGCAGAGCACGGGCTCTAGGCATGCGGGCTTCAGTATTGTGGCACGTGGGCTCGGTAGTTGTGGCTCGTGGGCTCTAGAGCACAGGCTCAGTAGTTGTGGTGCACAGGCTTAGTTGCTCCGTGGCATGTGGGATCTTCCCGGACCAGGGCTCAAACCCGTGTCCCCTGCACTGGCAGGAGGATTCCCAGCCACTGCGCCACAAGGGAAGTCCCGAGATGGCTTTTTTTTTTTTTTTTTTTTTTGGGTACGCGGGCCTCTCATTTTTTTGGCCTCTCCCGTTGTGGAGCACAGGCTCTGGACGCGCAGGCTCAGCGGCTATGGCTCACGGGCCCAGCCGCTCTGCGGCATGTGGGATCTTCCCTGACTGGGGCACGAACCCGCGTCCCCTGCATCGGCAGGCGGACTCTCAACCACTGCACCACTAGGGAAGCCCCCGAGATTGCTATTTTTTTAATCAATGAAGAGTCACTGTTCCACTGTGGTCAATCCAGAAACTTCTTTATTCTAAATCACTTCCTTGTACGTAGAGAAGCAACCCTATAATACAAAATTTTAAGAGACCTAGCTTAACTTGAATTAACTCTTAAATTTGACTATCAGTAACAATGTGGGTTGCAGAATATAGTTGGGTTTAAAAATAGAGTTTTACTCTAGTTTTATAATTTGATTTCTCTCAGTTTCTAAGACTCTATTCTATATTTAGAAAAAAATGTTACGTTTGCTGTTTAATAAGAGTTTATTTTGGACAATAACTTTTGAACAATGCTTTTGAAAATTTTTCTTAATTTTTTTAATTAAAAAAATTATTATGGGCTTCCCTGGTGGTGCAGTGGTTGAGAGTCCGCCTGCCGATGCAGGGGACACGGGTTCGTGCCCCGGTCTGGGAAGATCCCACATGCCGTGGAGCGGCTGGGCCCGTGAGCCATGGCCGCTGAGCCTGCGCGTCCGGAGCCTGTGCTCCACAACGGGAGAGGCCACAACAGTGAGAGGCCCGCGTAACACAAAACAACAACAACAACAACAAAATTATTATGCTTAGCAATGCTTTTCTTATTACAGGTGCTGATCGCATTGAATTATGTTCTGGCTTAGTGGAAGGAGGAACCACACCCAGCATGGGTAAGTGTCCATTTTTCGGATTTTCTCATAGAGCCTGGAGACAATCGATAACCTGTTTCATTGGGATCTTTTACTGAAGTTACTAACATGTTAACTATGCCATGGATATTGTATCAGTTAGAAATATTTATGGTTGCAAATAAACTTGTCTATCACAGATGTGATCAAATAGATGTTTTTTTCCCTTATATATCATAAAGTTGAGATTAAGTTGCTGTTAATATTGGTTCATATGCTCTGCAGTAATGTCAAGGACCATGTTTTTTTTTATCTTTCCATTCTGGCATCCTTGGTATACTGACTTTTGTCTTCATTTCACCCCTCTTAGTCTTTGTGCTGTTGTCATACATTTTTCTTTTACATATGTTAAAAACCCCACACTGCATTGTTATTATTTTTGTTTAAAGAGCCAGTTATCTTTTAAAGAGGTTGAAATAATAAGAAGACATCATATTTACCCATGTGTAATTAACCATTTCTGATGCTCTTCCTTTGTATAGATCTATATTTTCATCTGGTTTCATTTTCCTTCTGCCTGAAGTAATTCTTCTAACATTTTTTGTAGTACAATGTGCTGGTGATGAATTCTTTCAGCTTTTGTGTATCTGAAAACACCTTTCCCCATTTTTTGAAAGATATTTTTGCTGGGTGTAGAATTCTAGGTTGACAGTTTTACTCTGCCAGGACTTTAAAGATGCTTCTCCACTGTCTTCTTGCTTGTATTGTTTCTGACGGGAAATCTGTCATCCAAACCTTTGTTCTTTTCTGTGTAATTTGTCTTTCTCTTGGTTACTTTTAAGATTTTGTTCTTTATTCTTGGTTTTGAACAATTTGAGTATGATGTACCTGAGTGTAGTTTTTTTTCATGTTTCTTGGACATGTGCATTTATACTTTTCATCACATTTGCAAATTTTTCAGCATTTAATGTCCTCCACTCCCTCCTTCAAAGACTTCAACTAACTTACTTAAGGCTGCTTAAAGTTGTTCCACAGCTCACTGATGAACTACTCTTAAAAAAAACTTGGGCTTCCCTGGTGGCGCAGTGGTTGAGAGACTGCCTGCCGATGCAGGGGACACGGGTTCGTGCCCCAGTCAGGGAAGATCCCACATGCCGCGGAGCGGCTGGGCCCGTGAGCCATGGCCGCTGAGCCTGCGCGTCCGGAGCCTGTGGTCTGCAACGGGAGAGGCCACAACAGTGAGAGGCCCATGTACCAAAAAAAAAAAAAAAAAAAAAAAAAAACTTTTTCTCTGTTTCATTTTCTATAGATCCTATTCCTTTGTTTTCAAGTTTACTGATCTTTTCTCTGCAATGTCTAATTGCTGTTAATCCCACCTAGTGTATTTTTCATCTCACACACTGTAGTTTTCATCCCTAGATATTTGAGATTGTTGTTATATCTCTCATGTCACTTTTTAGCTTTTTTGAACACGTAGAATAAAGTTACAATAGCTATTTTAATGACTTGGCTGCTAATTCTAACATCTGTATCAGTTCTAGGTTGGTTTTGTTTGATTCATTTTCGCCTAATGATGCATCTTGTTTTCCTGCCTGATAATTTTTCATTGTATGTAAGACATTATGAATTTTGCTTTGTTGGGTACTGGATATTTTTATATTCCTATAAATATTCTTGAGCAGTTAGGTATTGGAAACAGTTTGTTCATTCTGGATTGGGTTTTTAAAATTTGTTAAGTGGGTCTGGAATAGTGTTATTCCCCACTACTGAGGCAAGACCTTCTGTGTACTCTACCCAGTGCCCCATGAATCTTGAAATTTTCCTGTGTGTGGCTGGGGGGAACAGGCATTATTCCTGTCCTGGTGTGAATGACAGGCACTATTTCTTCTAATTCTTTTCAGTGGGTCTTTCTCTGGCTTTGTGTAGTTTCCTTGTGTGCATACGCCGATCGGTACTCAGCTGAATATTAGCAGGAAGGGGGTGTGTGGTTCTGTGCAGATCTCCAGGGTTCTTTTTCTCTCCTCCCTGCTATTCTCTGCTGTGAACTCTAGCTACTTGGTCTTCCTGGACTCTCAGCTTTGTCTCCTCAACTCAGAGAATTCTCTGGCCTCTGCCTGGGTTCCCTCTCCCTATGCTGTGGCCTGGAAAACTCTCAAGGTAGTAATCTGGGTCATTCAGAGAGCTCACCTCATTTGTTTCCTATCTCTCAGGCAACATTATCCTTTGTTGCAAACCATTGTTTCATATGTTTTGTCTGTTTTTTGGTTTTATGGGTGGAAGGGTAAATCCAGTTCCTGTTACTCTGTCTTGGTCAAAAGCCCAAGTCCCTATATGAAATTTTGACTCCTATATTTTACTCTGAGATGGATGATAGCGTTATTTAGTATAAAAGGTTTATATATGCAATGGCCTTTTGGACTCTTCTCTCTAAAATAAAGGAGGGCATTCCCTGGCCACTTTGTGAAATACCTAGAACATACCTGTTATTTGAGTGCAGTCTGTTTTTTGCAACAGCAGTCATGTATGATTCATTACTTGGTGATGGGCACATTGCTATCCCATGCAGAACTGGGGTTCTTGTAGCAAGGAAAAAGACGTAAATTCACATTGGGTAAACACTAATGGTGCTTGCCACAGATCTTATACCATTGAATGTTTCTGAACTAGCCACGAATTGTGTCAAATTTGGGTACTTTTATTCATAGATCTCCTCATAAAATCACAAATAAGTTCAACTTTGCTCCCTTTTGCATATCTCTTATTAAAAAAAAAAGGCTTTGCTAAATATCTTTTTCCATTAAGGAATCATAAACTTTAGAACTATGTAACCATCTCTATAGTAGGTTTTAAATAGAGCTGTAATCATTATGAAGGAGAAACCGGATCTTAGGGAATACACTGGCAGAACATAGAGCCTGGTAGTTATTACACTTTCAAATGTCACATTCCAGTAAAAGAATTTAGTTGAGTCAACTGACAAGTGCTTTTAAAATGTGGTAACTTCCTTCTATTTTCTAAATTGCTTTTTTATTTACCTTTGATTTTCTTATTACGTAACTTCTACTATATGTACGTTTTTCTTCTCAGTGTCTCCTTTTTCCTTTAGATCCATCTTTCTATGGTTTATTCCATCAACTCTTCCATTTCTTGTAGAAGTGATACACTAGAGCAAATGTAAAAGACCAGTACAGTAATATTTTATTGACTTCCTTGAGCTTTTAGCTCACATTTGAATTTTAATTAGTCTGCTCTATTCTTATAGGTGTCCTTCAAGTAGTGAAGCAGTATGTCCAGATACCAGTTTTTGTGATGATTCGGCCGCGTGGAGGTGATTTTTTATATTCAGACCGTGAAGTTGAGGTGATGAAGGCTGACATTCGTCTTGCCAAACTTTATGGTGCTGATGGTTTGGTATTTGGGGCACTGACTGAAGATGGACACATTGACAAAGAACTGTGCATGTCCCTTATCGGTAAGAATTTGTATCTGAGACCAAAAAGCCTCTAATGATGATTGCATTGAATACTCCCAATATAGAAAAACGCAATCACAAAACTGACTTTTCATTCACACCTGCAGGCACTTATACTAACCTATTTTAAACACTAGCTATTTAGGTGTTTTGGGTAGAGACTATGTGTGACATAGCCCTCCTGACTCTCTCAGTTACTGTAGATTGGGTTCTGCTACTGTTCCTATAGGGTTTAAGGGAAATTTACCTTGATTCCTTTAATCACAGCACTGAAAAGTTGAAAAGCTATTACAGTTGGTGAGGATGGGGAGATGTAGAGAGGACAGAAGCAAACTACTTATATTACTAGGCCAGAGTATTTCTTGAAGATTTTCAGAAGGGTCGTAATAGATGTAATGCTACCCTTATAGTTGCCAAATCATATAGTTTTTATTTGGTGCCTCTAAGGAGTGGATGACTTTTTTTTTTTTAACTGAAAATCAGAGATTAATGGAAACATAGAACTTTTGGATTTGGAAGGTTGCCATTTTTTTATTATTTTAGTTCAGTGTCTTCACTTAAGAGAAGAAAGTATTAAAAAGTTCATTCTAACATGGAGAATTCTGTAAATAGTAATCAGTGATGATCTCTTCATTCATGTTGTCATGTGATTTTCTTTATATAGCTATTTGCCGTCCTCTGCCAGTCACTTTCCACCGAGGTGAGTCATTTCCATTTTAGAAGTTCTGTTGAACGGTGTCAGTTTTCTCATTTCACCAAATGCCACAGCCTTTTTTCTGGAACACAATTGTGTAGTGTCGTTACAGTGTTACCAATTGGTTTTTTTATACTGGTCATGGGACTAACAGTTGTAAATTTAGAGATGCACAATTTCTAGAAAATATGAAGCCTTAGTTATGAAAAGTTGTTAAAAGCAGAAGGTGGTGGTGGTGGCATATAATAGAGGGAGAGAGTAAGCATTGCCTACAAGTGTGTGTGCTTGTCACAGCTTTCCAAGCAAGAATCCTGAGATTCATTTTTATTAGTTTGCCTCAGGTCATGTGCAGTCTCAAAAAGGATAAATCACTATGGCCAATGAAAGGAAATGTGCTGCTTGGCTTAAGCCAGATAAGATCATTCTGGAGCTAGGAGTGAGGTCAGCTTTCCCAGATGAATATAAGATTCGTGGGCAGAGAGGGGGAGGGTATCTGATGAAGAATTGGGTACTATTAGGAAGAGGAGAGAAGAAATAGGTGCTGGATAATCAATGAACAGATGTTCACTATAGTGCACAAAATTATTGTACATTATTGATAGCTTGTCTGCATCAGAATGATTTCTAAAAAGTATCTGATAATTTTATATGAAAATACTTCTTATCTCTAAATCAGGCAGTTACAATTTCCATACATTTTTGTCTAGCATTGGTAAAATGGAGGAAGTGTGAATTTTGCCTTCAGAGGCACTGCCATTGCACATGAAAAGAAAGAAGTCTTCAATTTTTTTTTATTTGATGATATGCATGAGAAATTATTGAATTTTTTTTGTCCTTTTGAGTAAGCATCCAAAGATTAGGATGAGAGTGGACACTAGGATTTGCATCCATTTATAGAAATTAGGTATATAGCATTTGTAATCCTTGTTTCTTTATGAAATGAGTAACACCAGAAAACTTTCTTGACTTGCTGTTTAGCAATGCTTCTCATAAACTAGCAATAACTAAAAGATGTTAGATCGCTTAAAAGTCAGAACTTTGAAGCTAGCCAAAAGAAAAAAGAAAAGTTTTAAAATATGAGGTAATTTAAATTAGTAAACATTTATCTGAAAAATATATAGTTTAAAATTTGATATGCTAAATAATTCAAAATAAACCCACCGTATAGAATATATTTTTCTGTTCTTAAACTAAGAAAATCATTTCAAATTTTTGTCTTTTCCTTCAATAAATTTAGCAAAAATATTTCCATGTTTTTATATTGTTATATTGTCCTGTGCTCCACATTTTTTTCACTCATGTATTTAATATTATGACAGTATAATCACTGAGAAGGTACTGCCACCAAAAAAGGAAAATCCTCTGTGTTACATTTAGCTGCCTACATACACTAAAGGGTGAAAGGAAGGGGTCTACCACCTAATCCACCATAGATTAGCACTTACGTATCATGTAGCAGTGCTGAGAACCAAAGCAGAAGTAGTTTTCTTTGGGGTTCCTATTGCCAGTTTCCTCAATGAGGAGGAGAGAAGTCTCTTAGAAAGTAGGTTGGAACTGAAACCTCATATAGTCTGTTGTAAACAACTATCCTTATACTATGAGTCTTGAGTACATGGGATAAATGGATTAGAATAAAATATTAGTCAATAATGAGAATGTGAACCAAGGCTTTTTCTAGAACTGGTGAGTGTAATGTTTTCATTCTGTTTGTCCAGTTTGTTTGAACCCTTAGAGCAGACTCCCAAATTTGAGTCACTTGCCTGTTATGTTCACAATTTTATCATATCCAAGGGCTACTTGTGCAAATTTATTTAATAATTTTCTTAAAATCTTAAGTAAATTTATTTTAAAGAGAAACTTTATAACTAATGAAAAATGGAAACTTTTCACTTCTAATCTGCATTTAAGTAAATGCACCTGTTCAAATGCATACCATCTAAAATGATCCTGCATACCATTGGTGGCATGCTGACTGTGGTATGCTGGTAAACTGGTTCTCAGGAAAAAAGAGTCCTTCCTGATTTGTAGCATTTGTTGATTTCTGTGGTTTTGTACTTTCACCTTGACTAATTTCAGCTGCCAATGGATTGACAATCATGCTTGCAAAATTCCTGAATATTTAACAACTGACTCTTGCAAGCCAGGACAAGCTAGGTCCAGCATACCACTGTGTGTATACTACATTTTGGAAAGCACTGTATTAGAGATATCTGTTCAAAATTCAAGTCAGTTTTATTTATTTCAGCCTTTGACATGGTTCATGATCCAATGGCAGCTCTAGAGACCCTCTTAACTTTGGGATTTGAAAGAGTATTAACCAGTGGATGCGACATCTCAGCACTAGAAGGACTACCCCTAATAAAGCGACTCATAGATCAGGTACACACAATTTCCTTCCTTTCTTCCTAAGACGCTGTTGTGGTTACTTCTGATATTCTGCTGTTCAACGAGGTTGTGAAACTACATATTACTGACTTTGTGGTTACTCCATAGCAAGCAGGAAATAACATATTTTATAATTTTTATTTCTTTCACATGAGCATTTTTAGTAGCCAAGACTCTTAAGATCAAATTATAGACAATGCCTAAATAACTGATCTAATTTGGATAACCACAGCAAATTTTACCTTTCTTCTGCCATCAGCGTTGCATAGTTTAAGCCATATCTTCTTACTGGCAACCTATGTATACTCAGGGGTTCCCACATAAAATTTGAGAAAATTATCATTTTGAGGTGAATTCTAAAACTAAAACTGGGACTTCCCTTGTGGTCCAGTGATTAAGACTCCACACTTCCAGTGCAGGGGGCACGAGTTCGATCCCTGGTGGGGGAACTAAGATCCTGCATGCCAGATGGCACAGCCAAAAAAAACCTAAAACTGTATCCTTCTCATTTCTCCCAAACTACCAAGATAGGAGGAAATACATTTTTCTCTTATATGATTTCCTCTTGTGAGTTCACATCATTTGTAGAACAGCCAGAAGATGGCTTTGTAATTGTAGTATGTCTGTGTTTTTCTGACACCCGTCCAGAGGCATTCTAAGTGAGTGAGTATGGACTTTGAGATGAGAATGTTCTGGATTTGAGACAGTTTTGACACTTGCTGTATAATGTTGAGTAGATTACTAGCGTTTAAGCCTCTGTTTCCTCATGTGAAATTGAGATAAGTTTAATATCTCCTATATAGGGTTGCTCTGAGGATTGGTAGAGATCAGGTAGGATTGGTAGAGATAAGAGATAATATAAGAGATAAGAAAGGCTCTTGGTAAGAGCCTTAGCAGAGTGCTTGATATATATTAGATTTTAATACATGTTAGTGTCTATAATTATTATTACTGCTATTATTAATAATATTATTTAGTGTTTTTGTGTAGACATCTGCTTATGTTTACTTTTCTATAACCATGAAAATAATTTTCAGAAATTTCACCTGAGGATCAGATAAATTTTTCTAGACTGGAACTTACTGGTTTTATAAATATTTATTAAGTATATATTAAGGTGCAGGGCATTTGCCCTATGTTGGTGACCAAGGGGTGCCTGTGCACGCACGCGTGTGTGTGTCTGTAGTCATTGCCCTTACAAACTAGTGCACAACAGGCACTTTTAATAGAGTATTATATAAAAAAAAAAAGTGCCGTGGGAGCACATTGGAGAGGAATTAACCCCAGATTTGAGGGATTGGGATTAACAGTAGTTAGCTTCCCAGAAGAAAAGAAATCCACACTGCAATGTCTTACTCATTTGAAGGATGATTAGGAGCCATCAATGTAAAAGGGAATAGGGAGAGGGAGAGTCGGGGGGATGCTCCATGTAGACAAAACAGTATATGCAAAGGCCTAGAAACAAAAGTGAGCATAATTATTAAGATATTGAAGAATGACTATAATGTTGAATGTGAAGAGAAGAATACTGTCCAGAGCCTTGAAAACTATTTAAGAGTTTGTATTTTATCCTTGGTGCACTGGGGAAGCCTGAAGGGTTTTAAAATAGAAGAATTGATGAGTCACCTTTCCATTTTAAAATGGCTACTCAGTATGGAGTAGAGAATAATTGTTGTAGTCATATATTGCATTTCATAGTATTTGTGTGTGTGTGTGTGTGTGTGTGAGAGAGAGAGAGAGAGAGAGAGAAAGAGATTTGTAGTTTAATCACTGGTTGGCAGGAAGAGCTGGGTTAAATATGCTTATACACTAACTTTACATTTTTAAGTAAAAATTATATGTATATATAACAGGTGTACAACATTGATGTTTTGATATACATATACAGAATGAAATGGTTGCAGTCAAGATCATGTTCATCTGTTCATATAGTTAACTTGTGTGGCGTGTGTGTGTGGTGAAAGTACCTGAAATCTACTCTCTTAGCAAATTTTTAGTATTCAGTACAGTTTTATTGACTATAGTCATCATGCTATACATTTGATCTATAGACGTACTCATCCTACATAGCAACTTTGTATCCTTTTACCAACATCTCCCCATTTCCTTCACCTCCTTACCCCTGGTAACCACCATTCTATTCTCTGCTTCTCTGTGTTTTACTTTTTTAGATCCCACATAGAAGTGAGATCATGCTAACTTTACTTCTTGAAGCAGTTACTTAGTAGTATAATATACTGGTTAAAGCATAGGATTTGGGATTAGAAATGCCTATGTTTAAATCCTGGTTTTGCCACTTATTAACAGTGACCTTGGGCAGTTTATCTAACCATCCTAAACTTCAGTTTTCTTACCTACAAAGTTAGCATAATAATAGTGCCTACCTCTTAGAATAGTTGTGGATTACTTCAGCACAAGGTCTGACACTTAGTAACTGCTCTGTATTGGTAAATCACTTTGATAGCCTCAGGTAAGCATATACTTCTAAATAATCTTTTATGGAAGGCCAAAAAAAAAGTGATAGAATTCATCTCTTTAAACATTTGTCCATGTTTTAGAAAGCTTTCAGTTGGAAGAAACAGTTACAGTAAGTATGACTTTTTTGCTCCTAAACTCATTTCAGCGTTCTAGATAGTAAATATTTAGTTTTGTGGGTATTTTGCTGTAGCCTGTTTGAGGATACTAAACAGCCTTGTTTCACTTATTTCTCTAACAATTATTAAATTTTGTGAAATAGCCCCTCTCCCTTTTACTCTCTATTTCATTTCCTTGCTTTTTTATTCATTGTATGTTTAAATATTTATATTTTATAAATATACCTATCTGTTGTCTGTTTTCGTTGAACGTGAAAGCCCCATGAGAATAGGAACTTTCTCTTGCTCATGATGTCAGAAAGGAAAAACTTTTTCTTTACCCTCTTTTCCTTTAAAAAAAAAAGTGAACCCTCCTAGGTTCAGTATTAGAGATCCTGCAAATTAAACTGACAAAAGATAGATTTACAAGAAAACAAGATTGTAATCACGTGTGTATGTATGAATGGGAGTTCACAAAGAAATGTGACTCAAAGAGGTGCTTAGAATTGGGGGCTTATATACCATCTTCTAATAGGTAAAGGAGGGGGAAGAGAGCACTTAGGGACTTAGAAGTGGAAGGAGAAAGGGCCCTTATGGGAAAACAAATGACTTTTTGGAAAGATTATTGTATCCTTAGAAGAATAGATGGGAGATAGGATAGTTTTATGATATTGTCTGCCTGGGTGTGGTGCTGATGAGCTGCTTCCAGTGAGGGGATTTATGACAGTTGAGTTCTTTTTCAGTTCTTTTGGGAGGCTCTGCTTTTAGGCAGATAAGGAATTTCAGCCTCTAGCTCAAAATAATTTTTATGCCACAGTGACATATTTTGGACCCCTTCAGTCACAGTATTCTTCATACCTACAACAGTGTCTGGTACACGGTAGGCACTTAATAAATATTTGTTGGTTGGATGGAGGAGTGAATAAAGTGACATTTGATAAACACTTTCATGATAGAGCAGTTTGATCAGGGTATTATTCTGCAAGTTAGTGAGCTTGTTATAACATTATATGTTACTTTTATTCTGTCATTATTACCTACCTGCCACTAGAGTTTCTACTGAGTATGCATTTGTAAAAAGGTGATTTCCTTTTGACTTTCAGTGATACTGGGTATATCACCAAAATTTATTTAGGAAATGGGATGAAAATTAGAATAAAAGTAAGGAAATTTCAATACCTATTATCAGAAATTAAATCAATTCATGTAGTTCAGTTTTATTACTTAATATCCAATAAAATGGACCTATGGTTTTATTTAATTGGTATAATAAGCTAGGGAATTTAGTTGAGGACACATGATTTGAACAGATTTTTTTTCTAGTAATTTACGATTATGCTATCCTCTTTCTTTTCTGCTGAAATCTTACTTAAATTCAACTACTTCCATTCCATCGCATGCCAAGAACTCAGAATTAATGTTATTTTTCAGTAGTGGTTTTTTTTTTTTTTTTTTTTTTGCGGTACATGGGCCTCTCACTGTTGTGGCCTCTCCCGTTGCGGAGCACAGGCTCAACGGCCATGGCTCATGGGCATAGCCGCTCATGGCATGTGGGATCTTCCCGGACCAGGGCACTAACTCGTGTCCCCTGCATTGGCAGGCGGACTCTCAACCACTGCGCCACCAGGGAAGCCCTCTTTTTTCTTTTTTAAAAATTTTATTTTATTTATTATTTTTGGCTGTGTTGGGTCTTCGTTGCTGCGCGCACGCTTTCTCTAGCTGCGTTTGTTGCAGTGCGGGGGCTTCTCTTGTTGCGGAGCACAGGCTCTAGGTGCGCAGGCTTCAGCAGTTGTGGCACATGGGCTCGGTAGTTGTGGCTTGTGGGCTCTAGAGCACAGGCTCAGTAGTTGTGGTGCATGGCCTTATTTGCTCCGCGGCATGTGGGATCCTCCCAGACCAGGGCTTAAACCCGTGTCACCTGCATTGGCTGGTGGATTCTTAACCACTGCACCACCAGGGAAGCCCCCAGTAATGGGTTTTCTTAAGGTGGTGTGATTATTTAGTATTTATATTTTATTCTCCTATTCTTTGTGTTTATAACAGTACAAGTCTTTAAAGCAATACAATAAAATAACCTTTCTGGGTAGAAAGAGTTACTACTCTGAACATTTTACTTACCCAAGATCCCAAAGAAATAGAAAGATCTATTGAAAATTAGATACTAGTAGTAACTTAATAAATTTAATATAATTATGTTTCTGTTTTGCTGCCTTATTATCCCATGTAAGAGAAGGATATTAAAATTGTTTATTTTTTTCTTTTTTCAGGCAAAAGGCAGGATTGTGGTAATGCCAGGTATTTATTTATCTATCCGTTTACTAGTGTAACACTATAGTGAGGAAGAGCAAAAGAGGCAGGACAGTATGGGGGGTAGTATTAGTACATGGCATTCAGAAAGAATATATAATTTGATTAAAATGTTTAAGATTGGGGGATCTGTGCTGCAATTTAAAACTATATGAGGAACACTCTAGTAGGGTTTCGCTCAGAGAAGAGCAAATAAGGATTGGGGTTTCTCCATGTTTGCTTTCCCATAGTATACAATTTTGTGAATGTAGATGTTCATTTCTGGTGAGGCACACCAAGTTTGATGCTGCTACACTGCATTAGGGCCAACTGTCCTAGTTGTTGACAAGGTATAAGCAAACATAGGTAACACCCCTGGATAATGTAATACTCGGTTTCTGAAAATCTTTGATCACAAAATTCTTCCTTGTAGTCAGAACAGTTGGATCACATACTTCTAATGATAACTCTAAGATCAATGAAGTACATAATGGCGCATTAGAAGTCAACAGTTTTTAAAGAATTAGATAAGATGACCTAGATCCAGAATGAGATTAATATAAAGACAATCTTAATTTTTTCTTATTAAATTTCTCAAACGTATAAAAAAGAAAACAGCATTATGAATACTCATGTACTCAATTTCTATATTTAACATTTTATCACATTTGTTTCATCTTTTTTTTATCCTGAGGTATTTTAAAATTAAATTAAAGGCATTATAACATTTTCTCTTTATACGTCTCTAAAAAAATAAGGGCATTTTACTCTAACCGCAATATCATTATCACATCTATCAAAATAAACACTAAATCCCTAATACCATTTAATACTCAGCCAATACTCTCCTTTCTCTAATTGTACCCAGAATGTTTTTTATAGCTGATATCTTCAAACCAGGATCCAATCAAGGAACAAGTATTGCACTTGGTTTTTATCTTTCTTAATATCTTTTAATATAGAAGTTTTCCTTTTCTTCTTCTGCTTTAAAAAAAATGACATTTAAAAAGTTTGAACTACTTACCCAGTAAAATGTCCTAGTTTCTGGATTTATCAGATTGTTTCCTTTTGATATTGTTTAGCATGTATTTCCTAGACCAGCCTCTGTATTTTCCTATAAACTGCTTGTTTAGATTCTGGTTAAATATTTTTGGTAGGAATACTTCATGGATAATTCTGAATACTTCATATTTCATCACATCAGAAGGCATACAACGTCTGGTTGTCTTAATACCAATGATGCCAAGACTGACCAGAGGTCAAAATGGTGATAGTGAGATATAGGCCAACTTTTAAAAAGAGGCCAAACAGACAGATAGTGTCAGAAATTTAGGAAAGCTTTGACTTGTAGCAAGTTCCTGAAACATGAGCAAAAAGAAAGCATATATTATTTGTTAAGTTGAGACCCTTAGTAGATTAATCAGGGAATGTTAAAGAAACTTAATTGAGTCTGATGCATTTCCATTTAAGACTAAATATATTTATACTTGACAATACCCAGACTTAAAGACAGTTGTTAACGTAAGATTGCCTTTGCTTTATATGTAATTATTAAGTTATGTGCTATGTGCAAGGCACTACTTGGGATACAGAGTTACACAAGAAACTACTTCCTCAAGAGGCTTACAGTCTTAGGTGAAAAGATGTTATATCCAAAAATATTTGTGATTATTTAACAAACCTCACCAAGAAAATGCTAATTATATGACAGGTTCCGTGGTAGGTGTAAAAACACAGAAATGTATATGAAGTAATCCTTCTACTTGTGGAGCTCACCAAATAGATCTATAAACAAATTATAACGATTCCATGTAAGTAATTACCAGCAAGTAAAAATTCCTGAGTAAGTCAACCTGAATGCCTAATGAGTATCCATCATTGGGAAATATAAAGATAACTAGAACATAGTAGCTCCCCTCTAGGGACTTTCATAATGAAGCTTACAATATAATTTAGGCTCCAGTTTCCTTATCTTTATAAAGAGAGGATATTGAACTAGCTGTTCTTTCAAGTCCCACCTGTTAGTCTATGTTTGGAAAATGTATTACTTATGTTCTGATAACTGAGCAACGTGTGTTTCAGTGGCCAGATATTTTGTTATTTATTAGAAGGAAATAATGTATTTGTCTTTTAATCCTTACAAGTTTGTGAAGTAGGCAATACTATCCCTCTTTGGTGAAAAAATTGAGGCTCAGTGGATTTAAGTAATTTATCTAAGATCACATAGCTGTGAAGGGCCACAGTGGTAAAGCCAGGATTCCAATCTAAATCTGACTTCTCAGTCTGTTCTTTCTGCTTCTTAGGGCTCAGTGATATTACTGTACCACCAAGAAAAAGAGTTAATGAGTCTGAAAGAGTGTGTAAGTCAAGTTATTTTAGTAGCTTGAATAGCTTGAGATAAAAAGTACATATTTTAACGGTCATTTAAAAATATGTATTGAATACGTCTTATATATTAGGAGAGAATGATATCAAGATGAATAAGCTGATTTTATATTTATAATCTGGTATCAGTTCAGAATATTATTCTTCATATACAGACATTTAAGAGATTGTTCATTAAAACAAATGAGTCATAAAATACTTGATTGTGCAGTTTTAATAAAGTAGAATCAAATTCTTCCGTAAAATGAAACAAAAAGTTGATATTATAATAAATAAGTTGTATAACACCTTGCATTATTCCCATTGCCAGTGAGATCTGTGTGTTCATCAAATCCTGGGCCAGAGAAAGAACCTTGGAGGTTTTCTCTTTGAGATACATTTCTGAGGCTTTGCTTTTGTGACTTCTTCCTCAAGTCTATCTTACCTTTCATTTCAATTTGATTTTGCTTTAATTGAGGGGAAGCAGGGCTAGAGCACTCAGTGATTTTCCTTGCCCTGGAGTGATCTTTATAGATTTAAAATCGGTAACATATAGCATTGTTATATAAACCAGTGGGCATGTAAAATTCTGTCATAAAGGTGCTTTGACCTTATCTTTTGTTCTTCAGAGTCTGTAGTCTTGCCTTTTCATCATTTTTTTTCTAAATTCATTCTAGCTGAGTAAAGAGAGAATAATTCTCAAATCAATGAGAAATTTCAGTATGGAGGTTCCAGGTAGAGTTGGCAGTCATATTATTCATTAAATCTTATATGAAAATATATTCTATTTAATATATTATTTATTCTTTCCAACAGGGGGTGGCATAACAGACAGAAATCTACAAAGGATCCTTGAGGGTTCAGGGGCTACAGAATTCCACTGTTCCGCTCGGTTGGCTAGAGATTCAGGAATGAAGTTTCGGTAAAAATATATTCTTTGACTCCTGCAAAAATGAATGCAGTTAATCTTTACTTCCCCAAACAGGAAAACCTTAGTTGATGGCATGATTAATGAATGGAATGTTGTGATTAGTATGTAAGTATTACAGTCATTTTTGAAGTTTTTTAACTGCAGAGTGGTTCTTTTCCTGCCTTAAATAAGCAGGCTCTTCTGAACACAGGCTAACCTTCAAAGCCTTAAGGCATTGCTGAACTTAGACCAGTTAATAATAAATTCTAATTCAGCAGCTAAGCTTCAAATGAATCAGATATGTATGTGTGGCCATTCACCTGTGATTTCCTTTAGCAAAGTTAATAACTATGGTATAAGGATGGAAGAGCTGTAGTCATTTTTATCTTTCCTACTGTTAATACTTAAGTCTTTCCTCACCTTTGCTCTCTATTTTCAGTTATTTTATTTGTATTTTTTAATTTCTTTAAATTTTATTGTTTTTGGCCACGCCGCACAGCTTGTGGGGTCTTAGTTCCCCCAACCAGGGATTGAACCTGCGCCCTTGGCAGTGAAAGTATGGAGTCCTACCACTGGACTGCCAGGGAATTCCCTATTTTCAGTTATTTGGAAATTATATCACTATTAAGGAATTTAAACTATTATGTGTTCTTTTTATTATACTTGAGAGGACTCCTATATTTAATAGTTAATTGTTGATTATTTCTAAGTTGGAAAAAATGAAATGTAAAAGAAGCAAGAGCCTTAGAATTTACAACTCCAGATATAAAATCAAGTATACTATCTGATAGATTTAGATACTAGATGTTTCAAGTAATTAATAAAAATTATAAAATATAGTAGTTCAGGGTCCTTGACCTAACTTTGTTCTTGAGCCTTGAAATTGCCTATAAAATGAAGTGCCAGTAGGAGGGCTCATTTAACAACTTATGTAATTATCTGTTCCTTTATTACTTCTATTGCAGAAATTCCTCTGTTGCTATGGGAGCCTCTCTTTCTAGATCAGAATATTCTCTAAAGGTAACAGATGTGACCCTAGTAAGGACTTTGAATGCTATTGCAAAGAATATTCTGGTTTAGCCAGACCTCTCTGAGAGAGATGGATATCACTGGACAAAGGTAGAAGAATAGTCTACAGTTCTCTATGACACAGCTTTAACCTTCTCTGGCCAGGACAGTCACAGTCTTTGTTTTAAGTCTTACATTACCATGGAGAATGTTTCCAAGAAGAAAAAGAACTTGAAACAGATAACAGTCATTTCCTTTGCTTAATCTTGTCGACCATCTCCATCATCATGGTTAAATCTGGCCTACGCTTCTTCCACAAATGGAGGCTTAGTCTGTTTTCAGTGGAATTAACTGATGAACTGGGAAAATTCAACTGCAAAGTATGAACATTCAACTCAGATGTGACTTCATGGTCAACTCAGTAGCAGTATTTTGCCTTTTCATTTGTAAAATAAAAATTGCCATTCTATTATGGTAGAGTCTCTTACTCATCTGTAGCCAAGCATTAAAGGGAGGATTTTTTTTTTTAGTTTTATTTTCTCTTTTTTATTATGTACCTTTTGGATCCTGGGCAGGATACTAAGGATATAGAGTAAATGGTATAGCATAAAAATTCCTAGACTTGGGAAGTAGGATGTAAAAGTTCCCAGACTTAGAAAGGCAGAAGTGATCTCTGTTGTTCATCAGGTTACTTCTGCCTCTGCTCCCAGATAGAGAAATGGCTTAACTATGAGGTTCATCTGACAATGTACAAAGATCTATAGAGAACTGGGGGAGGTTAGGAAGGTTATCAGAATAGCTGTTTCTTTCAGCTGAGGCCACAGATATGGAGACTGGATTCTAGTGATGAAAATTGCTTTTCCTATGGGCAGGTCCCAAATGGTGAGGTTCATTTCTAGTTTTTTCTGTCACTTCCATATTTATTATCTCATTTTACACAGACACCGCTCTGGTAATAGAACTGATGCTTCTGTATTAGGAAAGTAACTGAATCATAATACGAAGAGCTTGCCCTTGGTCATGAGGCTAGTTAGTGGAGCCTCTATAAATAGCATGCACAAACTTGGGTACCAATGAATGTGTATACCAAAAGCCTTCCCTTTCTTTTAATGTGCCCCTTCCCTCACTTTTATTTATTTATTTTTAAAAGATTTATTTATTATTTATTTATTTATTTTGGCTGCGTCAGGTCTTAGCTGTGGCACGTGGGATCTTGTTGAGGCATGTGGGATCTTTTGATGTGGTGCGCAGGCTCTTCGGTGTGGTGCACAGGCACCTCTCTAGTTGTGGCGTGCGGGTTTTCTCTTCTCTAGTTGTGGCGCGCGGGTTCCAGAGCGTGTGGGCTCCATAGTTTGTGGCATGCAGGCTCTCTAATTGAGGTACGTGAGCTCAGTAGTTGTGGCACGCGGGCTTAGTTGCCCTGCAGCGTGTGTGATCTTAGTTCCCCGACCAGGGATCGATCCTGCGTCCCCTGCATTGTAAGGTGGATTCCTTACCACTGGACCACCAGGCAAGTCCCCCTTCCCTCACTTTTAAATCTTAACTTCTTTCCTCACTTTTTCAGGTACGATTTCAACATAGAATATTTGCCAAGGAATTTATGAGAAATGAGAGGCAAACTATTTAAAAACTAATAATAACCTCAGTGTTTTCTGTTAATATTGGTTTCTGTTAATATTGGTTTCTGTTAATAGTTTTAATATTGGCTTTGGAATATAGAAAGAGACATGTAAGTATCATGTACACATGCACACACATCATGTTTAGTATTTTGGCCTAACCCTCCCCCATGCTTGGACTTCACTGTATGATCCTCCAGAGATAAGAGAAGGCTATGTTATTATCTCTATTTTATTTAGACAGATTAGCTAGGGATCTGAGAGGTGCTATGAATTGCTCAAAATTTAATAACAAATGAATGTTGTTTACAAGACTTGAATGCTAGGCTACTAACCTCTAAGTCTTATGCTTAAGGATGCTTCTGGTATCTGGATGTAGTACAGAGAGCAATACTCCTGGGCAAATCAGACACACCTGGAATCATATCCTCACTTCCAGTTTAAGTTAACTTAATTTTTTGAACTTTAATTCGTTTATGTTTAAATCAGGACTAATAACTAAACTATGGCTTCTGGTTTAAGGATATATTAAAACACCAAGTACATAGTATGTACCCATTAAAGTTCTTTTCTTCTAGGTTAGTTTCCTAGTATCAGTCTTTGATAGTTTAAAAGTCCTCCCAGGAAGCTAGGCATTGAGTACTGAAGCCGATAGTTTGTGCCCTCCACTATGTGACTATAAAAGCATAAGGTAACCCCTTACCTTGATTTTTTCTTTCTACACATAGTCCTGTTTTAAAATATTTACTCATTATTCCATGTATATATGTCTTCTCATCAATATTATAAGTATTTTGAGACTAGGGAACCATGTCTTCATATTTTTATATATTTCTCATTACAACCATCAATTGTGTACTCATACTATTGATTTACTTTGCTAGTGGAAAAAAGCACTGGATTGAGAATCAGGATTACTGACTTCGGGAACTATGCTAGATATCTTCAGTTTGCCCCATCGAGATCCACTTTTCACTTTGTTCTGTAAACTGAGTCCAGCAACATAAAAAAGATTACAGTAAGTCCCCTACATATACGAGTTGTAGGTCCAGTTTGTTCATAAGTCCAGCAAAGTTAGCCTAGGTACCCAACTAACACAATCGGCTATATAGTACTATACTGTAATAGGTTTATAACACTTTTCATACAAATAATACATAAAAAACAAACAAATATAAAAAATAAAGAGAACTTTTAAAATCTTACAGTACAGTACCTTGAAAAGTACAGTTGTACAGTACAACAGCTGGCATGCAGGGGCTGGCATCGAGTGAACACCAGGCAAGAAGAGTTACTGACTGGAGGAAGGAGAGGAGGTGGGAGATGGAAAAGTTGAAAGATCATCAGCAATAGGAGACAAAGGGCAAGCTGCAAGTTCACTCACACGTGACATTGATGGCACAGGTTCTGGTTCCTTGCTGGATTCAATTTTATCTACCCTCCTGAAAAAACAATCCAGTTATGTCTGGGTAGTAGCTCTTTTTTTATCATCATACCAGTACCAGCTACATCACCACTGCTTTTATGCTTGCTTCCAGACATCCTGGGCTTGAAATAAAGATACTGTACTACTATACTCTAAACAGAACTGTACAGTAAAGTACACAAAAGCACAACCACTTGTAGAGGATGCACGCATGTGACAATGTACACCAGACAGGTAAACTAATTTACGTGATTAGACATGCGAATGCATGTTCACATCTTTGAAAGTTTGCAACTTGAAGGTTTATATATAGGGGACTTACTGTGTACTCTATGACCAAATAGGATTTATACCAGGAATGCAAGGCTGGTTCAATATCCAAAAATCAATCAATGTAATGCACCATATTGATAGAATAAAGCACAAAAGTCACATGGTCATCTCAACACTTAAAAAGCATTTGACAAAATCTAACACCCATTCATAATAAAAACACTCAGCAAACTTGGAATAGAAAGGAACTTCCTCAACCTGAAAAAGATCATCTGTAAGAAAACAGAATATATAGCTAACATCAAACTTAATATTTTCTCCCTAAGATCAGGAACAAGACAGGAGGTCCACCCTTACCACTTCTACTTAACATTGTACTAGAGGTCCTAGCCAGGGCAATTAAGCAAGAAAAAGAAATAAAAAGCATCCAGATTAAAAAGAAAGAAGTAAAACGTCTTCTATTTATAGGTGACACAATCTTATATATGGAAAATACTTTTGTGTGGAAAAGAATCCACACAAAAATTTTTTTAAGTTGAGCAAGGTTGCAGGATATAAAAATCAATACACAAAATCAGTTGTATTGCTACACTAGCAACTAACAATCCTAAAATGCAATTAAGAAAATAGTTCCATTTATGATAGCATCAAAAATGACAAAATGCTTAGGAAAAAATTTAATCAAG